ATTTTCTAATTTTGCACAGGCTACAGTATACTGGTTCATTTCTTAACCAAACAGGTTAAATTCACAGAAATACAAAGAGCCATAACTAAATTAAGAATCTTAACATTAATCATTGCAAAAGCACTGCTAAGATCTTATACATAACAGCAAATGAAGAATTAATCATGAATATGTAGAAGTCATATAGGTTTCTTACAAATTTCATCAATATTAATTTTGCAATTACGATTTAGGTTGAGGCAGAGATTTTATCATGCAAGATCTCCTACAATTATTATTGTTTTAAAATATGAGAAAGCTATTACAATTGCATAATATTATAAGTCATGCACGTTTATACATGGAGAGAAATGGAGGTTGAACTCAAGGTCACGTGGTCAGGTTGTTTGAGGGGCCACCTAGTTTCCAAGGTTACTGACAATGTTGGGATACTCCAGGTCTCTTCAATTAAAGAATGCCATCTTATGGAATTCAGAGAGTATGCCAACTTTCTTGCAGCACCTGCTCTCGGGAATAAGATGCCTCCCGAAAGCTATGTGGTTGCCCCTTTAATGATGCTCCAGAAGGCCTTGAAGACCTGATTGTTCTCCCTGGCCCTTGAAGATAAAGTCCTCCTTTTCTTTCTCCAGGAATTTCCCAGGATCCCATGAGCAATTGCAACAAGAGACTTCTGAACAGCCCTAATTACATAATTAGCCTCTTCTTCAAGGGTTAGGCCGGTAGCTGTCGCCACTACAGCAATCGCTGTGAGAGACAGCTAGATGTGGCTGCCAAGTAGGGTTAGGAATCCTAAGAGATGTCAGGAGAAGTCATTCGGCAAGATCTAACGGTCCAGTCTTGAAGGTGATCAAAGGAATTGAAAAGGGAGAGGTTGTAACATGTCAACAAGACCTTCCGGTTGTTAGCCCAGATTGTGGTGTCTTGATACGAGGGTGTGCACAAATCTTGTAGGAAGCGGGATGCACAATTGTCCCTATTATGGATTTTTCACTGAGTTCCACACCTTCTGGTGGCTCAATCCTAAATGCCCACAGCAGCCTGGTGAAGATGTTGAATAGCTCACTCTTTGCAAGGAGTTCTCCCAAGCAGGCACGAGCTCCTATACAAAAATGAAGGTTAATTTTTTTTAATGTAACAATCTATTATTCATTACCCACCAGTGGTGGGATTCAAAAGTATTTACTACTGGTCCTGTGGGCGTGGCTTGGTGGGAGTGACATGACTTGGTAGGCGTGGCTTGGTGGGAGTGGCATGGATTGGTGGGAGTGGCTTGATGGGCATGGCAGGGAAAGGATATTGTATAATCTCCATTCCCACCTCACTCCAGGGGAAGGATACTGCAAAATCCCCATTCCCTCCCAATCAGCTGGGACTTGGGAGGCAGAGGATAGATGGGGGCAGGGCCAGCCATAGGAGGTATTTACCGGTTCTCCAAACTACTCTAAATTTCCACTACCGGTTCTCCGGAACTGGTCAGAAACCTGCTGAATACCACCTCTGCATCTGTCCCACTTTGCAATGATCGGGCGAAGGGAATTTGGGCTGGTGGGTGCAGTTTTCCGCCTTCAAAATGCCATGGAAGCATATATGGTGTTCCTTAAAAGCTAAAATGCTAAGCTTGCTTAGCATTCAATGTGATCGGTGTTATTTATCTAATTTATTTGAATTTCAATTTCATTACTTATTTATTTAATTTGCAACTAGTTTCATTTCAAATCATTTGAATGTATTTTATTTTTTCCTTCGCTTTATGAATGGCTGTGGAATGTCATCTCAAAACTCTGCATATCGTTTCACTATTGTTGACATACTAATGTGTATTATTGTTGTTATTATCTCTTACAGAAGTATCTGTCCTCTTTTTAATATATTTGCAAGTATGTTTGAATGTAATTTGTACATAAATGTATAATTATGACATTGCCGATTTATGTGTCCATGTGTAGCTGAGGGGGCCCATATTAGTCTTTCCAGCACTTAATTTGTATTTTTTGTATTTTGTATTTATTGGACATTTATAGGCCGCCCTTTTCCCTGAGGGGACTCAGGGCGGCTTACAATCAAAGAGGAAAGGGAGTGTAGGACAATACAAAAAGAAATGTGAGCAGAAGTAAATTAAACAGTAAAACTCATCATTCACTCAGCATTCGGGAGGGGCAGAAGTAATCTTATCCCCAGGCCTGACGGGCTAGTCAGTTCTTGANCACAGAGTTAATTTTTTTTAACATTTTCTAATGGTGGTGTGCCTCGTGATTTTTTCATGAAAAAAGTGTGCCTTTGCACAAAAAAGGTTGAAAAATACTGTCTTAGGGTGAAGAACTTGCTTCATTTCTTCTTCATGGCTGTCTATGGAGTGGCAAGGAGGAAGATTTATTTGTAGATAATGGATAACCTTGAGCTGACTGATAACTAAACCAAACTTTATCAACCTAACACTTACAATACTAAGGAGGAAACCATTGGTCTCCAGAAAAAAAACTTTACTGTATGTGTCAAGGTTGTCCGAAGATTATGCAGTATAGACTACAGTTCTTTGAGAAAGAAATGGAACTTCCTGTGGTTTGGTGCTTTTTTTGATCCTTAGAACAAAGGGGTCAGAGGATTCTGGACTGTGTCAGCAAATTCCACAGGTGAATGACAACATATTGGTCCATGAAGTGAAGCTTACATGAATGTGAGTTATATAGCAAACAACCATAAATACAAGTCAATCTATAAAAGAGGGTGACGGAGATTTCATATTTCCGAATGGCTGAGTTTAACCCAAAATCTGATGCATTGTTTCTTTAAACCTGAATCAAACATTTAATGAGATTTAATTTAAACTCAGATCACATTGTAGGTTACATAGTGCATGATTACCACAAATTCAAATGTTTATAACTTCCTCACTACTATAGGATGTAGAAGTGCCCCTTAGTTCTCCTAATTACTGATATTAGGTGAAGGATGAGCAATATTAGATGTCTGGACTTGTTCTTTAAATAAAGGGAAAGTAATAGTGGAATAACAAAAGAGAAGGATTGGCCAAGATAGATTCACATCACCAGCTTCGACTATTGTCCAAAATGTTTTCAAAATACTCATTCTTGACATAGCTTTGCCAACGGACCTGAACATCCTAAATCGCTATGGGTCCTGTGAAGTGATTTGTTTGAATGTTGTTGCCAAGAGAGATGGGGTATATTTGGTTTGTATTTAGAGTTTTAGTCCTGTAAACCACCCACGTTCCCCATAAATTGATTTGGAATAAGTTGAGTTTTCATCCACTCAATACACTGGGAAATTTACTTTGGAATTACAAGAGGTTCACTACACCCCTTTACTGGGAATATGATAAGGTTGAAAATCTTCAACTTTTATTAACCATCCTCTCACCAAAGATAAGTAATGCCTCTGGTTTGTTATTTGCTAACACAAAAGGCTCTGTTAAGATTAGGATCTTCTCTTCACGCCTCTAAATGATTTATTCCAGCTCTGCGGAAAAAAGCCTGTCAAAATGTGGAGAGAGTAGAAAAGAAATCTGGATAGGAACTGAAGAGATTATTGGTTATTCTTTCTTACGCTTGAGGTTTATAACCAGGCTGCCAAATAAATCTTTGTATTATCTTTATTGCAGCATGATTAATAGTAATAAATTACATTGTTCTCAGAAAGTGTCAAAGGAAGTAGCAGGCTTCTGGCATAATGTCCCTCTCGCCCATAGTTTCCTGATTTTCCTAGACTAGTGCTTCCTAGACTCCTTCTCTGGACTTGGAAACTAAGACTGATCAGATTTGATTAGTACATGATGGAAAAACTCCAGAGAATGGCCAGAATTATAAACATCATTGGGCTACTTCTACATTGCTGCTAAGAAATCTACTGAAGCTACTAGGACAGTGATGGCTAACCTTTTTGTCGTCCAGTGCCAAAAGCACATCCGCACCTGCACCAATAATGCAATGCACGCATGACACACATACCCCAAGCTTCTCCCGCCCTCGGGCATGCACACGTGACCCCCCTGTGCCCCATTTTGGGCCTTGTAGGCCTCCCTGCAGTCTCCTGGGATCAAAAATGGGCCACAGGCGGCTCTGCATCCCCATATGTCCCCGCACATGTGCACGTGATCCATCCCATGCATGCACACCCATCTCCCACATGTGCCCTGCCCCCCACGTATGTGTGGTAGAGACCCAAAAACCAGCTGGCCGGCGGGAAGCGTGTGCATACGCGGAGTGGATCTGAGCTGGGATGACTGCTTGCATGCCTGGAGAGAGGGCTATGCATGCCACCTGTAGCACATGTGCCATAGGTTTGCCATCACAGTACTAGGAACTGTACTGGGCTTAATTTTAGCTTTATTGCTCCATAGAATGACATCATCTATCCCTGCAAATAACCATATTTTTCATCAATATTCTTCATATACTTTAAAAGACAACCATAAATAATGTTCTTTAATATTATGGATAATATTTAATTTTAAGGTATAAATATTTAAAATAATATTGTATTTATTATAATACATTATGGTAAATATTAGAATAAATAATATTCTTCACGTATTTTAAAATACAAGCATAAATAAACTCTGAACTCAAACCAAGTCTCCATCTCTTGTAAATCTTCATAAGGTAAGACAATTTTTCAGGTGGTAAGAGAAAAGTTGCTTTCTAAACCTGAAACATCAAAGTACCTTACAGAAAGGCTGCTTGAAAATCAGAATGCTGTTGGAGATAGTTAACGCTGAAATCTTGATAATACTTCTGAGATGTAATGCAGTGAGTTTGAGAAAATTATGCTTATAAATATTTGTTGACGGGAATGATTAGCCATTAGTTTTTACATTACAGAATACTAACATTGATAACCAATGGAATTCTTTTAGATTCAAACAAGAGCATACAAACAAACAGCTAGGAAATGAAACTCTAAACAGAGTCCAAGCATCCTTCATGAAGAATTAACACTGAAAAGCAGATCATTCTTGTAAACACATACAAGAACTTCCTCACTCACCTTAAATATGTTTTCAGTGCACTGGTGATTGTTTTAACTTCCCATTCTGCACAGATGTCATCTTCGGTCTCAGCAGTTTTGGGATCTAAAAAGGAGAGAGGCACGAATAAGACCATAAAGAAAGGAGGGGAAATCTCATTCCAGAATATTCGCTATATATTTGAGGTCTACCATAGTTGGGGGAGAATGTGGTAGCTAAGTGGCTAAGACGCTGAGTTTGTCGATCAGAAAGGTTGGCAGTTCGGCAGTTCTAATCCCTACTGCCGCGTAACAGAGTGATCTCCTGTTACTTGTCCCAGCTTCTGCCAACCTAGCAGTTCGAAAACACGTAAAAATGCAAGTAGAAAAATACGTGGGAAGGTAACAGTGTTCCATGCACCTTCGGCATTTAGTAATGCCCGCTGCATGACCATGGAGACGTCTTTGTGGCTGGCTCTTCGATTTTGAAATGGAGATGAGCACCGCCCTCTAGAGTCAGGAACAACTAGCACATATGTGCAAGGGGAACCTTTACTGTTACCTTTTTACCATATTTGGGGTGCAAAAATCCAGATGATTTGGACTACAGATTGATTGTTTGTTCGTTGGTTTATTATGAAACAAACATTAAACTATAACTACCAGGTTAGTCTACAGAAATCTGGATAAATATATGTGGAAAGTTTTATTTTTGCTGTCATCAAATGATCATCTAGAATTTAGTAGCCCAGATTTGGTAGCTATCGTTTAATATGATTTTCTTCACTGTACATGCTTGCTGTTGAGCTTTACAAGAAGTTGGTGCTGCATATGTGGATGCAGCTACGTATAAATAAAGAAGAACTTGACTTGAGATATGCTCCTTTGGTTGAGAGATGTATTTTAAAACTATGGTTCCTCATCTCTCTGGATAAGTATAAAAGGCCAAGAAAGAAGGAAGGAATCTGCAATTCCTTCCAAAACACCAGAATCGATCCCAATAAGTAACTGAGGGCCTTTGTTTTTGGTTGGCATCAAGAGTTTGGAGAAACTCAGCAAGTAAACTGGAGTAAAAATGCAGGCAAAACAAGGATGATAAAAGCAATTCAATACTTCCAACCTGCACAGAGTCTCATAAGAGCTGGGCAAAACAAACCCAGAATACCAAAAACAAGAACAGCTAAACCACAGCTGGTATCCATCAATCAAACCCCAAACTATAACCGGAGAAGGAGAGAGAGAGAGAGAGATTTTAAACAAATCAAGATGAAATTGGCCACATTATTCATTATAGTAATTCTGGCCTAAAATAATTCCATATTTGCATGTCACAAATAATGCTATCCAATTTCCTGGTTGGTAGTTTTGGAAGGACATGATCATGGAATTGGGACCAGGAGGTACCAGAGTGGATTATGTATCGAATCTTCGTCCATTGCCAACAAGAATTTCTGAGTTTCCCATAAAGGCCCTTATAAGAGGAACAAACTAATAGTTACTGAATGCAGTACTAGTCTCTTTCCCAGTGATCCCATATGTAAACCAAAGGTGTGGGGGATAAAGGGAAGGGGAAGGAGGAACAGAAAAACAAGTTTAAGAAGCAGCATTAAAGCACCAGAGGAAAACATACAATTGTCTTCTCTCTCCTTATTCCTGCCAACCTTCTTGCCCATTCTCTTCCTCAACATAGCCTAGGGGTCCCCAATCCCTGATCCGTGGACCGGCACTAGTCTGTGGCATGCCAGAAACCAGGCCACACAACAAGCAAAGCTCTATTCATGGGATGCAAGCAGCATGTGAAACCACACCCTCTCCAGTCCAGGGAAAAACCTCTCTCCAGGGGACCGGTCCCTGTTACACAAAAAAATTAGGGGCCGCTAACATAAACTACCTGCCTGAGGGAGTGCTGAGAAGAATACCTATCCCAAAGTCCTTGGCAATCCCCCAAACTGCCCATGACAAAGAAAATACAGTAGTCCTTGTTTAGGGATTGCCTTGTTCAATGACCATTCATAGTTAAAATATTGATGAAAAAGTACTTTTGGGACCAATCCTTGACGACTTTCACAAATCTGTAAAGCAAAGCTGATGTAAGACCATAAGTACAATGGAGGTTTCACTTAGCAACCCCTTCACTTAACCGAGTTGCCAGTCCCAATCATTGTTTCTCAATGAGGACTGACATCTTTAAAGTGAGAAACAAGCACACGAGACAGAGAATCATTGCCAAACACAAGTGCTATCATGCAACTGGAGAAGATGGACAAAGAGAATGAGAGGCACCCACACCAGTTATGCAGGGCACATCCTTAACATCTACCACAATCACTTAGGAACTGGAAAACAGAGCATCCAACACACACTATATGGGAGAAGTTTTTTAAAAATTTTCTGGAAAGCCAAAAAATGAGTTCCAGCAGGGCGTTAATGCCGTAGTTGTTTTAAGTGGCATTACTCTGCCATTGGAAAATGTAAGAGTTTGTCATAGCATCTTCAAACTTCTGCAGAATTGCCTCCTTCTTCTTTCTTTTCCATGGTAAATTCATATTTGACGCTTTGTTTGCAGGTCACAGATGAGGGATATTGTTGTTTGATACAGTTATGTGAGATTTCAAGGGGCATTGGGTCAGCATCTCCTGTTTCTACTGATCTCTTGTATAATTTCTGAGGGTGGAGAATCTTGGAGCAACTAAATTAGGGAATACCTGGACAGTTCTATGAGTCTCTGCGACGTAGCTCCTGGGTATGGTTGGTGCCCTCATAACTGGTGATGATGGGGACTGCTGGAGTTTTTATATGCCATGCCTCAAGGGTTTGGCTGATGGTGGTGGTATGTCGAGGTGGCGCAGTGGTTAGGGTGCAGTACTGCAGGCCACTTCAGCTGACTGTTATCTGCAGTTCAGCGGTTCTAATCTCACCGGCTCA